ACTCTCTTGAAAACCCTATCCCAATTATATCCTACCTTGTTCATGCCCAGCATTATTTTTTAAATTTTAAATTATTACATTTGGCCCGGCTATAGGTTTTTTAAATGCTTGTGTAACTGTTTATTGTTTATTTTTTTTGTTATGTGATCTATATTGTGTTGTATTGATTGTTTTTGTTTTTGTTTATTGATGTACTGTTGGGTTTGGCCTCATGTAAGCCGCACCGAGTCCTTTGGCAAGATGGTAGCGGGGTATAAATAAAGTATTATTATTGTCGAAGGCTTTCATGGCCGGAATCACTGGGTTGTTGTAGGTTTTTTTTGGGCTATATAGCCATTGTCTAGAAGCATTCTCTCCTGACGTTTCGCCTATGGCAAGCATCCTCAGAGGTAGTGAGATCTGTTGGAACTAGGAAAGTGGATTTATATATCTGTGGAATCCTCTCTGTTGTTGTACAACAGCACAACAACAGAGAGGAAACAAACAAGGACATCTAATCACCTCTCAACAAAAGTTTGCCCCAGGCTCTATCAGACCATTATATGCTAATCAAGGTGGTCAGTTGAAACATTCACACCTAGCTCCAGCAGACAAGAGCCCTTTGTCTCACTCTGGTCATTCCACAGATATATAAACCCATTTTCCTAGTTCCAACAGACCTCACTACCTCTGAGGATGCTTGCCATAGATGGAGGCAAAACGTCAGGAGAGAATGCTTCTAGACAATGGCTATATAGCAAAAAAAAACCTACAACAACCCAGTGATTCCGGCCATGAAAGCCTTCGACAATAATAATACTTTATTTATACCCCGCTACCATCTTGCCAAAGGACTCGGTGCGGCTTACATGAGGCCAAACCCAACAGTACATCAATATGCAGATACAAAGGTGTACCATACACACATATTCAGTAAAGTCTCACTTATCCAATATAAACAGGCCAGCAGAATGTTGGATAAGTGAAAATATTGGATAAAAAGGGCAAGTCAATTAAACAGCAAATTACATTATAATTTTACAAATTAAGCACCAAAACATCATGTTTTACAACAAATTGACAGAAAAAGCAGTTCAATACATGGTAACATTATGTAGTAATTACTGTGTTTATGAATTTAGGACCAAAACATCACAATGTATTGGAACGGCTGTGGATCCGGGTAGGAGGTAGACTGCGTTGGATAATACTGAACACTGGATGAGTGAAGGTTGGATAAGCAAGACTCTACTGTATCTCTATGGGATGTCCAGGGTGGGAGAAAGAACTCTTGTCTGCTTGCGGCAAGTGTGAATGTTGCAATTAGCCACCTTGATTAGCACTGAATGGCCTTGCAGCTTCAAGGCCTGGCTGCTTCCTGCGTGGGGGATTGTTTCTTGTCTGGAATTCCCCTGTTTTTGAGAGTTGCTCTTTATTTACCATTTTGATGTTAATACTGGTACCCTTTGAAGACTGCCCAGAAGCTTCAATTATTCCAACGGACGGCAGCCAGGTTGCTCACCGGAGTAGCGTACAGGGAACATACAATTCGTCTGTTATGCCAGCTCCACTGGCTGTCAATCAGCTTCTGAGCATAATTCAAAGTGCTGGTTTTAACCTTTAAAACCCTAGACCAGGTGTCCTCAAACTTTTTAAACAGAGGGCCAGGTCACAGTCCCTCAAACTGTTGGGAGGGCCGGATTATAATTTGAAACAAAGCATGAATGAATTTCTATGCACACTGCACATATCTTATTTGTAGTGCAAAAAAATTAAAAACAATTCAATAATTAAAATGAAGAACAATCTTAACAAATATAAATTTATTAGTATTTCAATGGGAAGTGTGGGCCTCCTTTTGGCTGATGAGATAGGGTTGTTGTTGTTGTTGTTGTGTGCTTTTGAGTCATTATAGACTTAGGTTGACCCTGAGTGAGGGCCACGTAAATGACCTTGGAGGGCCGCATCTGGCCCCCAGGCCTTAGTTTGAGGACCCCTGCCCTAGACGGTTCTGGCCCAGACTACCTGTCCAAACGTATCTCCTGTTACGAACCATCACGAAGTTTAAGATCATCTGGAGAGGCCCTGCTCTCGGTCCCACCGCCATCGCAAACATGACTGGTGGGGACAAGTGACAGGGCCTTCTCTGCAGTGTCCCCCAGTCTGTAGAACTCTCTCCCCAGAGGCATCAGACTGGCCACCTCCCTCCTGTCTTTCAGAAAGTAATGTACGACTTGGCTATGGGACCAGGCATTCGATTAGCGATTAGCAGCAAATGCAAAGACGACCTAGGCAACCCATGACAATGTATTGGCCCAGATTCGAATTTGGTTTTTAACTAGAGTGTTTAATCAATTGTTTTTAATTTATTGTTTTAATGTTTTTAACGTCTTTGCTGAATGTGTTTTTGATTGTTTTATGATGGCAATGCATCTTATGATGCTTGTTGTGAGTCCCCCCCCCGGGGGGGGGGGGGGGGGAAGACGGGTGGAGTATAAGTATAGGAAATAAATAAATAAATACCCAGATTTTGTTCATTTTCACAGTTTCCTCCACAGAGAAGCCATTGAAATCCACAAGCATGTGGGCAATTTCAACAGAAATGAGGAAACCATGAAAATGAACAAAATCTGGCTACCAGTATTAAAAAAAATTCTAAAAATCAAAACAATAAAAAAGAACAACACTCAGAGAAACCAGGGGATTCCAGACAGGAAATCAGGGCCAGCTAATACCACCCTACAAAAGATCCCCCCAGGCAGGAAGCAGTCAGGCTTTGAAGCTGCAAGGCTACTCAAAACTAATCAATCTAGCCAACAGCAACATTCACACTTGCCTCAAACAGACAACAGTTCTTTTTCCCATCATTCTACACTGCAATGGTTCTCAACCTTCCTAACGCCACAACCCCTTTATATAGTTCCTCATGTTGTGATGACCCCCAACCCTAAAATTATTTTCGTTGCTACTTCATAACTGGAATTTTGCTACTGTTATGAATTGTCATATAAATATCTGATAGGCAGGATGTGTTTTCATTCTCTGGACCTTGGGAGTTGTAGTTGCTGGGATTTATAGTTCATCTACAATCAAAGAACATTTTGAACTCCACCAGAGATGGAATTGACCCAAACTTGGCACACAGAACGCCCATGACCAGCAAAAAATAATGAAAGGGTTAGGTGAGCATTGGCCTTGAGTTTGGGAGTTGTAGTTCACCTATCTCCATAAAGCACTGTGGACTCAAACAATGGCATGAATACTCAATATGCCCAAATGTGAACACTGTTGGGAGTTTGGGGAAAACAGACCTTGACATTTGGGAGTTGTAAATGCTGGGATTTATAGTTCACCTACAATCAGAGAGCATTCTGAACCCCAGCAATGATAGAATTGGGCCAGACTTCCCACACAGAACTCCCATGACCAGAAAATAATACTGTGTATTCTGATGGACTTTGGCGGTCTTTGGGGTGATTTGAATGCAATATTCCTGCTTCTTGGCAGGGGGTTGGACTGGATGGCCCAGGAGGTCTCTTCCAACTCTTTGATTCTATGATTCTATGACCCCCTCCAACACCCCATCGCGCCCCCCCCAGGGGTCCCGACCCCCAGGTTGAGAAACACTGTTCTACAGGTATATAAACCCGACTGGCCTAGTTTCCAACAGACCTCACAACCTCTGAGGAAGCCTGCCATAGATGTAGGCGAAATGTCAGGAGAGAATGCTTCTGGCCAGACCGCCCAGAAAACTCACAGCAATCTATTATGATTCCATGTCGCAATCATAATAAATAAATATAAGTGGAGAGAGGAAGAGGCAACCCGGCTTCTGCTTTCTCTTGCCGCCCATGACGTTTCCAGCGCAACCACAGTGCGCACCTGCAGGCACAGACCCCGCCAGAGGCTGCTGCCATGTGGCTTGATGTGCTTCCTCATTGCTGCCTCTTTAGAGGGGGTTTCCCATACAGGAGGAGGCCATGCCCTTGGATGCGGCGCAGCCCACGAGACCCGTTCTGGAAGCCTTTGCGCAAGCGCAGGCCTCAGAGCAAGCCTTACCACCCCCTTTAAACCTTGCCATGCAACATCTCCCCCGCATTTGGAGAAACCATGCGCCACATAGAGACCGCCACGCCGCACATCCGCGCATCATCGCTGTCATCAGGTAAGGCAGTCGCCATGGTTACGTCAGGATGATGATGATGTCACGGCCCGTCTCTTTGCCGTAAAAGGATTGAGATGGGGAAACGAAAAGGAGGGGGGACTTCCCAGCAATAGACTCAATGGGAGGAAAAGCCCACCTTTTTCTAGTCTTCGAACGCAAAGACGCGCAGCAGGGGAAGCCCATAAACGTCCACACAACGGCACAAAAGCCCTCAAAACCGACAAATGGAAGGCATTGAAAGGCGGACGTCTCTCTCTTGTGACTCTAAAGCAGGCATGGGCAAACTTGGGCCCTCCAGGTGTTTTGGACTTCAACTCCCAAAATTCCTAGCAGTCTGTAGTACAAAACACCTGGAGGGCCCAAGTTTGCCCATGCCTGCTTTAGAGTCACAAGAGAGAGACGTCCGCCTTTCTGAGTATTTCAAGCAGAAGAACCTCCATCCAACGTTCATGCATCTTTGAACCCACGGACGCACAGCAGGGGAAGTCCAAAAACGTCCGCACAATGGCACAACCGACAAACCAACAAACGGACGGGGTTTGGAAAGCATTGTGCATGCAGATACAATATTTATTTGCCCATCAAAACAAGAAAAATCCTTAAGAGTCCTAAGGAAGGACGGCCGCCTTTCCGAGCATTCCAAGGTGAAGAACCTCCGTCCAACGATCACACAACGCCAGAAAGCACAAAGGCCCCAGAAACAGGGCACGAAGAACCAACGCTAAGTGGTCTCTCGCCTGTTCGTTCTGCTCCTCTCCCCCAAAAGGCGTTCCAAGCCTCCCACCCTTTGGAGTTCCCCAAATCCCTTTCAGTGGCTTTTGTCTCCCAAAGGGACAAGAAGAAGAAGGAAAGGTACCTCTTTCTTCCCGTTCTCCTTCTCCGTCTGGGCCGCCAGCACCTGCCCCTGTCCGCGGACGGGATCCTGGCCTCTGCCGCCGCTTATTTCCACCTGCAGAGCAAGAACAAGAAGAGGAGACGATGAAGAAGGAAAGTGTCAGAAAGATCGGACGGCCCTTTTCGGAAAAGCACTTGAAAACAAAGAGGAGAGCACTCGAGGCCTTTCCGAGGGCCTCGAACGGGGGTCTTAAACCTCTCCCCACCACCAATCCCATGTCATTTAGACTAGCTTTGCATTTCAAGAAGGGAAAAGTTGCTGACAGAGAAAATAGGGCTTAGGAAAGAAAAGAAAGGGGTCCTTAAATCCATTTGTATCCAAGCAAGGCTTGTGTTTACCTAGCCGAGCCTTTCCTCCACATCTTTGGCCCCTTTTTGCCTCCCAAAGAAGAACCCCCCAAAGGCACCCCTTCCTTCCTCCTTCTCCTTTTCCTCCTCCTCGACTGCCTCTCAGCCCCTTCCTCTTCCTTTTCCTCCTCCTCCCAGTGGTGGATCCAGTGCTAGCAAGCAGCCATCTTGCCTCATTCTCCTTGGAGCCGGGCAGCTGCAGGAACCCTTCTGCTGCTCTGGTGGCTGCGCTGGCTGCATTGGGGGGATCCTCTCCTGCCAGGCGCTGACTCTGCCTCTGTCTCCGCCGCCGCCACTAGAGTCATGATTCCCATCCAGAGGCTACTGAGAGGACCCCCTCCTTCCTCCCTCCTTCCTTCCTCCTTCCCTCCTTCCTTTTGCACACCCCCTTCCCCACCAAACAACACACAGGGAGGACGTGACAGGCATGCCCAGCCTCCCCAGGAGGAGGAGGAGGAGGAGGAGGAGGAGGAGGAGGAGGAGGAGGAGGAGGAGAGAAAGCAAGCCAACCTCCTAGCCTCAAGGAGGAGGAGGAGGAAGAGGAAGAAGGACAGAGGAATGGCTTCTCCTCCTCCCTTTCTCTGGAGCGCCTTCTCACCTGCCAGAGGCAGCTCACATCACTGGTGCTTCTGACAACTTCAGTGCAGCCACTTTTTAGAGGAAGAAAAGAAGAAGGAGGGATGGAAGGAGTGGTTTCTCTTCCTCTTCCTCCTCCTCCTCCTCCTCCACTACCTGGAGCACCGTCTCACCTGTCAGAGGCAGCTCACATTCATGCTGCATCTCTTGACAACTCTTGCAGCTACTTTTCAGAGGAAGAGCAGGAGGAGGACTGAAAGAGGGATGGAAGGATGGGTTCCACTTCCTCCTCCTCTTCCTTCTCCTCCTCTTCCTCCACCTCCTCTTCCTCTTCTTCCTCATCTACCTGGAGCACCTTCTCACCTGTCAGAGGCAACTCACATTCATGGTGCATCTCTTGACAACTCTTGCAGCTACTTTTCAGAGGAAGAGCAAGAGGAGGACTGAAAGAGGGATGGAAGGATGGGTTCCTCTTCTTCTTCCTCCTCTTCCTCCTCCTCCTCTTCCTCTTCTTCCTCATCTACCTGGAGCACCTTCTCACTTGACAGGGGCAGCTCACATCCATGGTGCGTCTCTTCACAACTCTTGCAGCTACTTTTCAGAGGAAGAGCAGGAGGAGGACTGAAAGAGGGATGGAAGGATGATGGGTTCCTCTTCCTCCTCCTCTTCCTTCTCCTCCTCTTCCTCCACCTCCTCTTCCTCTTCTTCCTCATCTACCTGGAGCACCTTCTCACTTGACAGAGGCAGCTCACATTCATGGTGCATCTCTTGACAATTTGAGTGCAGCCACTTTTTAGAGGAGAAGGAGAAGGGAAGGAAGGAAGGGTTTCTCTTCCTTCTCTTCCTCCTCTTCCTCCTCCTCCTCTTCTTCCTCATCTACCTGGAGCACCTTCTCACTTGACAGAGGCAGCTCACATCCATGGTGCATCTCTTGACAACTTCAATGCAGCCACTTTTTAGAGGAGGAGGAAGAAGACCAGAAGGAGATGAAGGATGGAAGGATGGGTTTCTCTTCCTCCTCCACCACCTCCTCTTCTTCCTCCTCTACCTGGAGGGCCTTCTCACCTGCTAGCAGGCAGCTCACATCACTGGTACTTCTCATGACAACTTCAGTGCAGCCACTTTTTAGAGGAGGAGGAGGACAAGGAAGAGGAGGATGAGAAGGGAACGAGGGATGGAAGGATAGATTTCTCTTCTTCCTCCTCTACCTGGAGCACCTTCCCACCTGCTAGCAGGCAGCTCACATCAGTGCTGCTTCTCCTGACAACTTCAGTGCAATGAATTGTCGAGGGCTTTCATGGCCGGAATCACTAGGTTGCTATGAGTTTTCCAGGCTGTCTGGCCATGTTCCAGAAGCATTCTCTCCTGATGTTTCACCTGCATCTATGGCAGGCATCCTCAGAGGTTGTGAGATCTCTTGGAAACTAGACAAGTGGAGTTTATATATCTTCTGCCTGCCATAGATGTGGGCGAAAAGTCAGGAGAGAATGCTTCTGGAATATGGCCAGATAGCCTGGAAAACTCACAATAATCCAACTTCAGAGGAGCTTTTCAGAGGAGGGCAGGGAGGGAGGGAGGGAGGGAGGGAGGGAGGGAGGGAGGGAGGGAGGGAGGGAGGGATGAAGGAAGGAAGGAAGGAAGGAAGGAAGGAAGGAAGGAAGGTAGGTTTTCTTTTCCTCCTTTTACAATCATAGAATTGTGGAGTTGGAAGAGACGTGCTGGGCCATCCAGTCCAACCTCATCCTGCCAAGCAGCCGGAAAGTCACATTCAAAGCACCCCCGACAGATGGCCATCCATCCTCTGTTTAAAAAACTCCAAAGAAGGAGCTTCCATCACACTCTGGGGCTATTATTCCATTGGTAAAGGTAAAGGTTTCCCCTTGACATTAAGTCTAGTTGTGTCCAACTCTGGGGGTTGGTAATCATCTCCATTTCTAAGCCAAAGAGCTGGCGTTGTCCGTAGACACCTCCTAGGTCAGGGGTCCTCAAACTAAGGCCCAAGGGCCAGATAGGGCCCTCCAAGGTCACTTACCCGGCCCTCACTCAGGGTCAACCTAAGTCTGAAACGACTTGAAAGCACACAACAACAACAACAATCCTATCTCATCAGCCAAAAGCAGGCCCACACTTCCCACTGAAATACTAATAAGATTATATTTGTTAAAATTGTTCTTTTAATTACTGTATCGGTTTTATGTGTTTTTTGCACTACAAATAAAGTATGTGCAATGTGTATAGGAATTCATTCATTTTTTTTTTCAAATTATAATCCGGCTCTCCAACACTTTGTGGGACTGTGACCTGGCCCTCTGTTTAAAAAGTTTGAGGATCCCTGTCCTAGGTCATGTGGCTGGCATGACTGCATGGAGCGCTGTTACCTCCCCGCAGAAGCGATACCTATTGAACTACTCACATTTGCATGTTTTCAAACTGCTATGTTGGCAGAAGCTGGGGCTAACAGCGGGAGCTCACTCTGCTCCCTGGATTTGAACCTGCGACCTTTCAATCAGCAAGTTCAGCAGCTCAGTGGTTTAACCCGCTGCACCCCTGGGGACTCCTATTGAAAAAGGGCTTCCCTCATTACTTAAAGTATGTTCCATATCCGACGCATGGCAGCAGCAAAAGACTGAACTGAACTATCACTTCACTCCAAAGACCAAAAGCAAGGAATGGGGGAATATAGGAGGAATGGAGACCCACACGAAAACACAATGGAGAGGGAAACATCTTGTGCGCCCAGCTCCCAAGCGCCGCCACAGACCCACCTCCATCATCCAGGGCACTTTTCATGCTCAGGAGCCTGAAGAAACATGCAAAAGGCAGCCCTGCCTGCAGTTCCTCCCTGGATGTGCTCCGGCTTGCCCCATCAGCGTTGTCAACCCCTTTTAGGGCTGGCACCAGCCGCCAGTGCAGTGCAATTTTGCAGGAGGTGAAAGGGTGGCCGAACCCGTTTGCGCAGCTGGAAGAAAGCCGGAGGGCGCTGCTCCTGGCGGCAGGTGAGGCAGCGCTGGAGCAGAGCCCCGTCTAGACGCACCGTCTGCTGCAGCAGCCAGAGAGCAGCTCTTGCATCGTATCAGTGCCGGGCCTCCCTTCATGAGTGCCAAGGGGGGAAAGGCAGTCCTGGGTCGCATCCCCACCCACAACACACAAAAAGGGGCCCAAAAGGCAAATATCGGACTTACAAACATCCAACTTGCAAACAACTCCTACTTAAGACCAGGGCTGAGACAAGAGGAGAGGGAAATCCACACCTGGAATAATTATTATAACTATAATCTCCACTAAAGCTTTATCTCCAATCCTTGTTTCCACAAGTATATCTCTATCTATCTATCTATCTATCTATCTATCTATCTATCTATCTATCTATCTATCTATCTATCATCTATCTATCCCGTACCTTGGGAAGTCTGACTTGGCCACGGTAGCTCTGGTTACATCCCGCATAGACTACTGCAACGCTCTCTTTGTGGGGTTGCCTTTGAAGACTGCTCGGAAGCTTCAAATGGTCCAGCGCTCGGCAGCCAGGTTGCTAACAGGAGCGCCACTCAGGGAGCATACCACTCCTCTGCTGCGCCAGCTCCACTGGCTGCCAGTTTGCTACCGGGCACAATTCAAAGTGCTGGTGTTAGCCTATAAAGCCCTAAACGGTTCTGGCCCTACTTACCTCTCCGAACGCATCTCCTCCTATGAACCGACTAGGACACTAAGATCATCTGGGGAGGCCCTGCTCTCGGTCCCACCTGCATCACAGGCGCGCTTGGCGGGGACGAGAGACAGGGCCTTCTCAGTGGTGGCCCCTCGGCTGTGGAACACCCTGCCTGCAGATATCAGATCGGCCCCCTCCCTGCTGGCGTTTCGGAGGAAAGTGAAGACCTGGCTGTTCGAACAAGCATTTGATTAAACAGTGTAATTGAAAATAGGAATACGGAATAATGGATGATGAGACTGGATTCTGATTTTACTGTTGAGGTGCTAATGTTTGTTTTGATTAAACAGTGTAATTGAACATAGGAATACGGAATAATGGATGACGAGACTGGATTCTGATTTTACTGTTGAGGCGCTAATGATTGTTATACTGATGTTAATGATTTATGCGATAATTGTTTTTTAATTGCCCTATACTTG